AGTGTTTAGAGCACTTGAAGAACCTGCCGTAGCGAACCGAAGGCCCCAATACAAATGAACTTATCCTACCGTTCAGTTTAATACTGCATAAACGTAAACACCTATGAATGCAAATTAATAGCAGCTGTAGACTGGTTACAATAGCCATGCCTTTCCCATTTTGACCACAGAAGTAACTAATTTAGCTTCCGCTGAACCTAGCAATCGACTCTGTTACTTTAATGTGAATTTCCGTTATGTTTTTCTAGCATATTTGATCCACATGAGCCTTAACTCTTGGCAATCGGTTTTTTTTCGCAACTTTGCTTTGGTGCATAAATGGGCTGAATTCCTCTTGTGATGTGAGTCACTGACACAGGAGCCTCTATCGGTGTGAACTCGACAACTAGCGCCCACAATCAATTATCTCGACTCATGGCTTCGACATAACTCCGGTTTGATTGTGCCACATTTCCCTTCATCAAAGCAAGTAAAATGAATATGCAATTATTTGAGAATTTTGCAATTAGCTTCACGGTTTATTGTAAATGCCTGTGGAATAAATAACAGTATTAAGTTAGACGAAACATTCTTCAAACTTCATGTTCACACGCGTATCCTAGTTCATCCAGTGAACCACACACTTGAGAGACCTCGGCTTCGAATATTTTTCTCATTCGAGCTCGTCAGCGGTGCCCATTCACCGTTCCACTTATGCCTATTTCGGAAGATGACTAAACTTACCTAGGTATTTGCTTGAGGATAATGTATAAAAGCCGGTCAGCGTATATGGAACCATATGTCGGAAATGCCCAAATCTTTTCGTTCTTTCTACCCCTACTGACTTTAGAAATGGGCACCTCCACGAGTTTTTGGTGGTCGAAGTTACACAACTATTGTCGGTAGATTGCGGTTACCGCAATTTCTGAAAGCAGAATCCCCGAAACCGGAAAAGCCCGCGTCCGGTTCGTCCAAACCACCATTCAGTGAGTTTTTTTCTGTAGTTTCCTCACACTCCTATTGTTTTTCTTTCGAGAACGCATCGAGTTCGAATTTTCTTTTGGTCGCGGTAAAACACCAGATTCCTCTGGCGGATGGAATCTGGGCCCTTGGGTTTTGCTTGGTGCAGTCGGGGTCGCCTCACTTATAGTGTACAACACATCCCGTTACGAGAAGATAACATGGAAAGATTTTGTGGACAATTTCCTTCAAAAGTGAGTCAGTTATTGCTCTTCATTTTTCCGCTTTCTCGTCCATCCATACTATCCGGCTTTCTATAGTGATGTATTTTCTTTCCACTACCTAATCGCATAATCCGAGATAGGAAAAGTGTTTTGTTCAAAATGACAATCTTTGGAAGCCAACGGGAATCCATGTGAAATGTACCTTCGTTTCTTTATCATATTGTGGCACCTCACAAATTCTTTAATGGGGACAAAAACAACGAGTCTGTAAGTTTCCCCTGTATTTCCAAGTAGTCCCTCAGTTACAAGCCGTTCAACAAGGGCTCATCACGTCACTTAGGATTTGACCCCAACGAACAGAAAAATGTGTTTACTACGATGATCTGACTACCACATTGTTTAGAATTCTGTGCGTTCACTTTAGATCATTTCCAACAACCAGTAACCATGCTCTTTCCTGCGTTGGTTTTGGTTGTTGTTCTTTGGACGAAGCAGTGTTAATGTGAAAGTAGGGAATCCCGATGGACTAAGGCTGCGAGGAAAGTGAGTGGATGTACAAGCGTCACTGTTTGTTTGCAAAAATCCAGTGAATCGAATTTCAGCTAACCGGAATTTGGGCGAGTATTTCGGGATTAATGCTACTCTAAGTCGAAGGTTTTGATCTAATGATCATCTCATGTGTGAAATAGGGTTACTTCACTAAATGCAGCTCGGTTGATCGTTCGGTTCATCGCTGTATTCGACCCGTACGAGCCAGTTATCATCATCAACAAATGAATTGGTCTGCATTTGGCCAATGTTCATGATGAAATCGAAAAAATCTCATTCACAGATTTCCTGCATCCGGCAAAAGTGGACTCCGTTTTTCTACCCGTTATCTTTACAGTATCCAAGAAATGATCATCATCTTAAAACAGATACAGCATATATCCAGTATCTTACGTAAGTTTCTGATTAATGGAAGTAAACTAATGGGATCAATCAAAAACTTTCACCATTTTAAAATTTTATCCGTCTGATTCCCTCTGCGGCACCATGGATATCGTGTAGGCGAGATAAGCACAGATTAAATCCCAGTCAATTCTGGTTCCGATGATGTCTACCGTGAACAGACCTGAGACCTGAGACTTGGAAGGTTCCAAGCCCGCTTATTGATCTACCCTACAGAGCTGCAGTGCCAGTCGGGGCCCAGGGAGCGACCGTCGTATTGTCTCACGAATTTAGTGGCTACACAACGTATACTAATACCCAACTGTTGCAGCTGCTTTCTCTGTAGCACATGTGACAATTGCTAGTATCGCAGCTGTATCCTAGAGAGTTGGTGGCTTCCATATCCTGTCAGTTAAATTACTTAAACAATCCGCAACAGGTAACATTCATTCACCCAGGATGTTCCATAAGTGGTGACAAAGTCTTACAACAGTGGTTCATTCTCGAACGAGTGGCAGCTCGGTCAACGCGAAGGTCATTTTGTGGACTAACCGCGTTGCGAGCCCGGGAGCGTTTTATGAGGATGAATCATCGACTCCAAGCTGTATTGAACAATTTAAATAGTTCGGTTGTGCATTACGTCGTTGAACTATGAAAACCATCAGACGATAATTCCCTTCTTATCCGTACGTAGTTGAAAGCGAATGGTATTTTCTGTTCACTGGCAATTCATGTTAAAAATATAGATGCATGCCTGCCTGGAGAGAAAAGGGTACAGAATACGACGGATTCGAACTTAGATAATGTGACAATTATACCTACATTCACCTCTTCGATCGTAGTCGTCCAGTTTCGGCGGTACTTAGTTTCACTGTCACATACCATATTTTGAGCTAATGGTGTGATCGAGGAACAATATCCGAGCTGGGATGACCATCATGCCCCTTGGGATCTATTTCACCTCTTCGGTCTCCATCGCTTAATCCCGTTTCATATGTGGTTACCGGCATGTATCAGCAACCGCATCCCAGTATATCGCTCGACAGGTGGGTCGACGGTCTTGAGGATAGCTGAGGCTGAGATGACAAACGACATCTTGAGATACCTGGTACTGACTGCAGTGTCAGCATAGTTGCTTACACAATGCAATTGATTATTGAGTGCTTGCCAGATCTAACGCTTGCCCCAACAGCCATAAGTAAACTCTGTCAAGCCAGTAGAGACACTTGGATTCCTGCATCAAATCCATATCAGTCGAAAGGCAAATGAGCTTCTAGTGAGTCACCTTCAATCAAGCACCAGTACACTGCTGCCCCGTAGCTTGAACTGGGCTTTGCAAAGGCCAATTGACTCTGGGGACTGAATGCACTGGAAACTTCATAGTCATTCATGAACAAGGTTGATCTTCCTCAAGGAGGTAACCGTGGTAAAGTCAGTATTGGAACGCGCAGTGATCTTTCAAAGTTCTTGAGCTCCGGTTCGTGTAACTAAACTGTAAGTTACTCCTGGCTGAAGTTTATGTTTATTACCATATTCACCGTATAGATTCTCTAAAAAATCAGGTTCGTCCATGGGGAGTGTTCAGCCTTGGATCACACAAGAGTAGTAACAGATATTCAGCTTAGCTGATGGCTGATCCCGCTCTATCCATTTCTGTTGTTTGACCGTGTAATTAGTACTGTATGGATACGATTTGAGGTGAAAGATCGCATCTTTTACTTGAAGCTGCTGCCTAAGCGGCTCGTTATCTGACGTATTTTGTTGCACTGTGAGAAAGGAATGACAGTAATCTGTTCAGTCCCAGTGAAGAAAAAACTTTGTAAAGTGCTGCATGTTTTGGGAATCCCATGGGGCAAAGCCGGGTTGTAAACCGATCAGGTGCTTGTCCAGAAGTCGTTCCATCAGCAACAGTGTGCACCGTTGTTTTAATTTTTGCACTTTTGAAACCTTTCACGCTGTAAGTCGACGGTCCAAGAATACGTGTGAAGTCGTACCTTCAGAGTTCAACATTCATCTCAGTGGGCGAAAGTGGTAGAGATTTAATTATTTCAAGTAAGCAGGCATTCACTGGCTCTTGTCTGCTGTTCTTGTTGGAGCTGAAAAGCTTTCGCTGAGACTCCTGATCCTGCTCCTGCACAGCGTCCCGAATTCCCAGCAATATCTTCTCACAAAAATCCATCGCCTAGAAGTGTGTTCAATACGGTAACTTATGAATTGTTCTACCATTACTTTCAATCATCGACTGAATGATTTGGTTGCAGAATGAATGCTGTTTTTTTGCGTTTGTGCGTTGCATTGGTTTTACTTATACTGCCTGGTCATCTTCCGGGTATCGCAAAATTCCTTGAAATCGCCCAATTCTCGGCACAGTATGTTTACACCCACACACTCATGCAAATGAATAGACAACCTTGAATTCGGTCCCAGCAAGGTTTTACGAATATCGATCCATAATTTTGGAGTCCAATCGATGTCTGCGTTCATTTATTTTAGCCCACCATAAATTCTTTCATCTACTTTCAGGGGTATTGTCCATCATTTGGAAGTTGTCAACAAGTCCTGGGTGCGAGTGTATTTACAGCCCGGGACAGAGGCAACCCTTGCCACCAGCGGGGGAATTGGCGGTGGCTCCCGGGTTGGTAGCTCAGATTCCATTTATTGGTTTGAAATTGGTGCCGTGGACACGTTCGAACGCAGTTTGCGTGAACTGGAAGCACATTTAGGTGTGGACCCGATGCATCGAATGCACGTCAACTATGCTTCCCGAATGCAGCTGTGAGTGTGATTGTTTCCTCCCCGTCCCCCTCCCCCCACGCAGTTCACGTTTTCCGTTTTCTTTTCACTGTCCTATTAAAAAAGCCATGCGAAATAAATTATCAATCAAGTGGTTCTTATCTTATCACCTGCTACTCATTGTATTGAGGCGGTGGGCAGTGGTGGTAAGATTTAAACACGGGATAATGCAGTCCAGAATGGTCTCGCAACTTCTGCCGCTCAAACATAGCCTATCATTTAATCTACCTTTTTGTTCTCACTATTTCTATCTCGCCCCACCCCTTTCTTCCCTCCTACTTGGCAGTTGGGCGATACATTAGTTCTATAAATAAACAATTAATGCGTTGCGTTTTTGATTGGTGGTCAAGCAGTTTCAGTTGTTTTTGAGTGGCATACTTCGAACCCTAAACTCCTAAGGCCATCTACCGATCGATGACACTATGGGTAGTTTTAAATGAAGGTCGTAGCCATTTTCCCTTAACTGAGTACTATATTTAGCCATTTAACCCGGTTGAAAGCCCCGGGTATTTGCCTTTGCCGTTCCACTTTAGTTTTAATACCGTCACGAAAAGGCTGTGAGTGGAGCTTCCTCGGCGGTAATTATTTGAGACGCTTGGTCATTCGGGCCCATTTCTCTGCGCGTTTCAGGACGACTAGCGATCTCGGAGTCCGAGACTCCTACTCTCAACCATTCGGAGGTGTACTTTGTTGTTGACAATTCGTAATTTTGTTTCGAAATCGTTGGGTTGTATTGACTTAGGCCCACTGTTTTTACCGGAGTATCTCACATTTCGATACCAGGCATTTGCTTCCATCATATGTTACGCGTCACCCCACCGCATATTCTCGTAAACACAAGAATAATAATTATCCTTTTGTATTGAAACTGATTTTCTTCTCTGACACTTGTTTCGCAGTTCCGATTTTCTGTACATCGGTTTCTATTTGGCGCTGTTGGGCATTGCCGTTTATTCGTTCCGCTCGACAGCCGGTGGAATGGTCCGCAAGGTGAGTTCTGATCCTAGTGGTTCACTTTATTATTTCATTCACATCCTGCGCTCATCGGCTATATTTTGGAGTGTATACATCTTTGGCAGTGTCATCTTGTCTCTTACCAGGGAAAAAACTTAACGTTTGAAAGTTTCTATCGCCGTCAGAACTCATTAACCGGCCATATCTACCGAATTCATCGGGGTTCGAAACCAAATATTGGTGATTGCTAGTCAAACAGACTAGGCACTTGAGTTATTCGAGCTGGCTTTCAGCCGCTTGCTACGCTTCCACTCCGATCATCTGTCACTTTCACTGGGTGTACGGGAATCCACCATTCCACGACGGAACCCCTAGTGCGCGACTTCTCAGCTAGGTTGTACGGCGGCCTAAAAGGAAGTTTACGCACGCTGTGCACGAATTTGCTCACTTTACTTTTTTGTGATTGTTTTTACTTATGACGTGTATTCTGCATTTGTATAACCTGTGTAAGCGTATATGCTTACATTTCATCATGCAAAGACAACCTGTCACTCACCAATAACTATCCGTGGAAATACTGCGCGACTGTTTCATTATTAAATGGACTCACCAGCTTCACATATTCACCGAATACTCTGGTGAATAACATTTACCCTGAAAGATCTCTTTGCTTCAATAAAGAAAAATATCTCACAAACGAATAAACAATATCTGTCATTTTTCCGAGTTAGTTTATTCCCGATCAAGTATCTGCATAGGACCAGCAGTTCTAACAGTTGCGCTTCTGAATTTTGATTTGCAAACTACTGGGAAAATATCTTATAAACATAATAAAGTGTCTTACCCCGGTTTCTGTAAGAATTCACAGATGAAACGTCATCGTTGCTTTTGAAAGAACGATAGTAAATTACTAGATCGAAATGTTTTTGACAGCTGCGCATTATAATTGTTCATATTCATTTCTTTGTTGTTCAGCCTGCGGTTCAAACAGTGCCACACATGTGCTAAACGTTTGAGTGGGGAAAAGCGCTTTCTCACACCTCCCTTTTCTGTACCCATGTACTAACTACTCATGAGTAGGAAAACGCCACAAGTAAATTACTCTGATCAAAAAGCGCCGTACTGTGTTCAGTAGTTCCGCTAAGTTTTATATGGGAGTTCGTCGTGTATATAGCGAACGAAGCGTGAACTGAAAAGCTCGGAAGCACCGGACCTGTTTGGGTCTCATCAGCAGTGCGAGTCCATCGACGCGACTGGGGATCGAACCCGGGACTCCATGGACAGAACGCAAGCGTACTACCCAGTACGCCACCGAGCAACTGATCACGCCGTTTTTCATTTTCCATTTACACGATATAGCACAACCCATCTTTGAAAGTAAGTTGCGGGCCACGTACCCTGCTCATCTCAGCACTGTTTGTTTCACTGTGTGGGTTGTGCTATATCGTGTAAATGGAAAATGAAAAAACTGTGATCAGCTGCTCGGTGGCGTAATGGGTAGTACGCTTGCGTTCTGCCCATGAAGTCCCGGGTTCGATTCCCAGTCGGGTCGATAGTTCCGCACTGCTGATGAGACCTAACCAGGTCGAAACAGCTGTCCAGTGCTTACGAGCTTTTCACTTCACGCTTCATTCGCTATATACACGACGAATTCCCATTTGAAATTTAACCAAATCCTCCATTGCTCACATGAATTCGGCTAGGCGTTTTGAAAAGTCCTATTTTTCTTTGTATCTGGAGTCCGCAAAACTCTTATTTTATCAGACGGGCTTATCCATAGTTCGGGTGATTATTGACACGTTGATATCCCTGGTATTTCTTGATTGGAGTCCACTCCTCACGTGCATCACCTCAGTAGACAGAAGGATTTACTCACTGTGAGCTTCTAGCAAATTCTCAGTGCTATTTCGGATAACAGAAAACCGCTGTTCATTGCTGCTTACGTGGAATTTGCTTTATGGGTTTTCTTAGTGGCTGTTGATTTATAAACCGATATCAGAGTAAAATTACACAATCCATTTTACCTTCCCACGTCAAACATCGCATGCCAAGGGGATCTATCTGTTAACCTGCCCCAGGTATCGTTCACTATGCAGCTAAAGTGCCTGTTGAACGCAATTGTATAAAACTCTGGGTGTAACATTGGTATTTATTTTCCGGTTACCAAACCTGGTTCGAGCGATGCGCGTCGTACACACCGGTGTTCGATGTGGCTGCCCACCTAGAAAAATTAGGTCTACTTCCTCGATGGCTTCCCTAGTAAGGATGAGGTTGGGTGCTAAATCAGAACACTTCAGAGGTACAAAACACATACCAAAGCTAGCAACACCAACGCTCAAATCATTCTGAAAGTCTTGCAACCTAACTGAATAACTAACTCTGAGTGATGGACCATGAGAAGCGTAAATAGGAGGTGTCTTGTGTGTTTTGAGAGTAGAAGACTAAACTGGGCAAGATAGATAGTGTGTCGGAGAATTTAGGCCACGAAGTACTGCACCGCAGCCCACACAGACGGTGAAGATTTTCTTCGAGAACCCTGATCATAGCCTTCAACTCCAAAGTCCGATCATCAAGGCGATACGAGTTATCGGGTTTTTCTTTGAAAACCCTAAAAGGCTACTCAAAAGTCTGACCCACAAAGCGACGAAATGTGGATTCAATGTGAGAAAGTGAGCGATGTGCCCGCTTTGGGGTTTCAGTCACGCAAGGCCTTTGGATTTCGGTTTATTGTTTTGTTCGCTGATACGTTGCTTGTTGGTCCACAATTCGAGATTGGCCCTTAGACTCATGCCCTGAATGAGACAATTGAAAGGTTGACGGGACAGCACCTAACTGACTTGGGTTGCCCAGCTTAAGCGGTCGTCAGTTGTCCCACAAAACACAAGTTTCTTCCACCATCAGG